CTGGCGAGCTCCAGGGCAGGTGGTGCAGGTCTCGATTGTTCGAAGAGATGAGTTTCTCCATCGGGGGTCTTTTCTAACGTATTTTTCTGGCTGAAGTGGTCTCCAGATTCGTCTTGAAGCTAAATGAATTATGTCGGAATCGTGTTCTCCATGTTAATGAGCAGTGTACATTTTTTTAATTATTGTGAGGAGCACGATAATTCTTTCAGAAGAGCTTGTAAATTTGCGTATTGTTTGAGCATATATTGTACTCAATTGTCACACTTTCTTCATAACGCAGGAATAAATAACGGTATATTACTGAGTGTGCTGGATACCATAATTCGTTTGTTAATTATTGCATAGAGGAAAATACTCGACATTTCCCTCCAAAAACGTTCACTTCATGCACGAGTGCACTTCATAACCGAATGTGCCCTTATCGAAGAGCATTTTGTTTACTCGATAGCCACTCTCGCTCAGCACTCGTTCCGGGAATGCCTTGACCAAACAGCGCGAAGACTTCAAGTAACCGGTGTTGATTTAGCACGGCAGTTGTGTAAAACCTGAGCCCCGCGCTGCCGACACAAGAATATTGGGTGGTATCTGAAGAAGAATCTCGACCGTTGGACAGGGTTTCTCCATCGCACGGAGATTTGTAACGATCGCGGCGTGTTTTCGACAGCGCGTTTCGGGCCCATTCACCAAAATTTCCGAACTCGTACAAAAGCAGCGCCGGATAGTGGCGGTGGCTAGTCGTTTCGGCTCCAATCGGTTCAAACTGCGCACAAAGGCTCGGGGACGTCGTTCGCGTTCGGCGCCCAACGGTTTTGCCGGCGTCGGTGCGTGGGCGGCAGGCGAGGCTTCGCGCTTGAAAGAGTGCAGGAATGCGCGCGGAGGGCCTGCGCGGCAGTACCTGTGCGGCGCGGCCGCAGAGCAGGTGCTTTGTGCCGCGTTGGCTTGCGGGCGGCGGGGCGTCGTCTGCGGCGCGGCGCGGCGCGGCTCGGGCTGCGGCCGACCCGGCCTCTCCCGAACAATGGGGCGGGGGAGGCGACCTGCCGAAAAAAGGAGCCGAGGGTGGGCGTGGGGACCCGGTCTTGGCCCCGGAGGAGCGCCTTTTTGGAGAATGGCGCCGCTCGCTACCTGTTGCGGCCGCACGGCTGTGTGTGTGCGCGTGTGTGTGTGTGTGTGTGTGTGTTTATGCGCGGGAGGGCGCGCGGGGAGCCGTGCAGGTCGGCGGCGTCGCAGGTCTTACTGTGTGCGTCCCGCAACAGGTCTTATTGTGAGCGCAAGGTGCGCCTTTGAGTGGCGCCCGCGAGGAATTCGCGGCGGGGG